GAGAGAGATGCCATGGAATTACCTCGTCCGAGAAGCGGGGGCTGTGCACGCAGGTGAACTGGCTCAGGCCGTCCTGCAGGACGCGGAGCCTCATCGACGCCTCCACCACCTCCACCCCCTTCAGCTGGATGTCGTTCACGGGGTCAAGGGTCGCCACCCCGCCCGGGTGAGCCTCGGCCAATCGCAGCAGCTCCTGGGTGGCCGTGGAGATGGCCTGCCCGGGGGGGTCCATCCTGCGAGAGCCGCCGAGAGCCCAGGAACAGACGCCGGGGCGGGGAGAGGAGACGCGGACCGGTGACGCGGACGGAGAGAGGAGAGGCAGGGATACAGGGGCAGGGAGAGGAGACGAAAGAGAGCGAGAGAGAGAACGTTGCTGAACGGAGAGAGGAGACACAGAGAAACGGACACGGGCGGCGAGGAACAGGGAGAGGAGACACAGAGAGTACAGGTGCAGACAGGGAGAGGAGACACAGGAAGAAATGGATCCAGACAGAGAAACGAGACGCAGAGAGAATTGATGCAGACAGAGAGAGGAGATGCAGATGCAGACAGAGAGAGGAGACAGGGAGACACAGATGCAGACAGAGAGAGGAGACACAGATGCAGACAGAGGAGGGAGACAGGGAGACGCAGACGCAGACAGAGTGAGGAGACGCAGATGCAGACAGAGAGAGGAGACGCAGTTGCAGACAGAGAGAGGAGACACAGAGTGAAACCAATGGAGACAGAGAGAGGAGACACAGATGCGGACAGAGCGGGGAGACAGGGAGACGCAGACGCAGACAGAGAGAGGAGACACAGATGCAGACAGAGCAGGGAGACAGGGGGACGCAGACGCAGACAGAGAGAGGAGACGCAGGCTCCAGACCGACTGGGTCTCACCTGAAGCGAGGCATCTGCCTCTTGTTGAAGTCGTCGATGATGCGGTCCGGGCTGACCCGCAGGGTCTTCACTGTGATGGCGGCGATGTCGCCGGGCTTGATCTTCTGCACCGTGTGCCCGCAGGGGCCTGGGGGGAGACGCAGCACGCCGGTCACGCCAGGGCACCCCCCAGACCACCAGGGTCAAATCTCTCACCGGATGGAGCCCCGAGTCTCTCAGTGTGAATCGTGCACTGAATCGAGCCCCGAGTCTCTCGGTGTGAATCGTGCACTGAATCGAGCTCCGAGTCTCTCAGTGTGAATCGTGCACTGAATCGAGCCCCGAGTCTCTCGGTGTGAATCGTTCACTGAATCGAGCCCGGTATCTCTCGGTGTGAATCGTGCACTGAATCGAGCCCGGTATCTCTCGGTGTGAATCGTTCACTGAATCGAGCCCCGAGTCTCTCGGTGTGAATCGTTCACTGAATCGAGCCC